TGAAGTACAAAATACTCGCTCGCCATGTCATAATTGTCCTTAGGTTTCCAAGCAGTATACATAACACATGACTGGCGAGCGATGACGTAACGTGCTGACTGCGCGTTCTGGTATGAGCCAACTACATAAGCACGGCTAGGGAGTATCATCGCACTCAAGGACAAACATAGATAAGGGCTCTCAGCTGAGAGGTACAGCGAGGTACAGTGCTTGGACCTGCCAGAAGACCACACTTTTCTTGGGCCATTATCTCCGTAACCGTTCAACTTTGGACATAGGTGTTTTGGGTTATATCGGCATACTTTAACATAAGGAACACCCTCCCGAAGTTTGGCACATTCCTCCTGGGACACCCTGTATATATAAATTTCACAGTCAGAATTAACAGAAGCAGCAGATTACCAACAGTAAAAACAAAGGACACAAACACAGAGCAACTCACAATGACCTCAGGTACAAGAAGTGTCTGCTGTTTGATATCGCTGATCCCATCATCCACAGATGACATCTGCTGTGACCCAGAGCATGAACTGCCTTCCTCCTCCTTCATGAACATGTTCTGTAAATCAGGTCCATTGTCTTATTACACTCAATTACTTCAACAATAAACAGAGACTTAAATCCTATTGCATATTGGGATACCTATCAGAGTAAGACAAGCTCAGAATGGATTGGGCATATGAGTGAAAAGACAAAGATCTCAATATGCTTTCTGAGAATGGATCACCGCTGCCCATATTGTATGTTTAATAAACTGAGCTTTTTAACCCATTCACATCCATAAATACAACTATGCACCTCATGCTGTAGGTAGTGATCCCACATTTAACTAAAAAATGGGATCGTTTTCTTGTTCACGTTAAGTTATACAACAGGCAAAATGTGCTGCTGTCTGCATGACACTGCGTACTGTACAGCTCACAAGTCTCTTCTTATTTTACTTCTCAGCCTTTCAAAGACAATATTTTCCCCATTTCTTTGGTCCACTGATATTTGTGAAGTATTACCTTCTGAGTGATACTATAGTATCTGTCAGTCAGGAATCTTCAAGAGCACAAATATGCTCAGTTAACTGTGCAGAAGATTCCCCAGACAAGTTAATGAATTCAAATATTTTTATTTTACTATATGACGTGGAACAAACTAGTGTACCAAAATGGGAACCAGTTCAGTTTCTTTGTGATTAGATAAATCAATAATTATGGAAATAAATTTGGCATCTTCCAGCTCTTGATAATCTGTGGAGCAAGAACATTTACCAAAAAAGCTCAAACTTTAGTTTGTGCACATGTGAACTCTAGTTCAAAGAGCTTCTTATTTATTGTTAAGGTACAGTCTGTAATGCCACAATTTGTAATCTAGCAGGATGTGTTTCCTCTATATATAGATTATGGCCTGAGTCACAACTATGAGAAGAAAAATAGGTTTGGCAGCAGTCAAGTGCTGAAAAGAAGTAGCAATGTTGTATTATTTTTTTACTGCTAGTGGGGTAGGACTAAATCCCTTGTACTGCGGCCACTTCTGGCCTACTGTACCAGCCTCAGATGATAGGTGAGGGTGAATGTGGAGCAATTGGTGGAATGAAGATTGGCAGGGGAAACCAAAGTACTCAGAGAAAACCTGCCCCAGCGCTACTTTGTCCACCACAAATCCCACTTGACCAGAGCCGGGATCGAACCCAGGCTGCCATGGTGGGAAGCCAGCGACTAACCGCCTGAGCTATGGCACAGCCTTAGCAATGCTGTAAGTAGGATAAATTGCTATTTTGGCACAGATGGAAGTTGCTCCTAATTTCTTTGTATTTCAGGTAACAAAATTCACTTGTGTTTATTTCGTCCGACATTAAAATATATACACTGTTAAAGGAATCAGGTTGAGCTTGCCTCTTCTAGCAGGATTAGGATACCTTATTCACCTTCTAGGACCGCAAGGTCAAGACCACTTTATCCTGACAGGGTTGGGGATTGCCAGGTCACTAGTCCTTGGTCCTCCCTACTTTCTTTAACCCTAGTCCATAAAAACTACAATACACTATCTTATCAACCAGTGCCTACTGTACCAACAGAATTGTACTCAGGCAAATTTGAATTGTTCATTGACAATTTGTACTCAGGCAGTTTTATATGCAGAACTCACCTCAGTTTCACTCTTTACAACAAAGAATTCTGCATGTACAGGATAATTTTGCTTTCCATCTGTCATGTAATATGCATTCTGTGAAGATACAGGATGTGTCTCTTCATCTGAAGCAGGCTCCACTTTTATGATGTCCATGTCGTGCTGCAAAAGACGTACGGCCTGGTTAGGGACATTATTCATTTCGCTTGACTGCAATTAGAGTTAATAAAAAGGCAAAAATATAAAGTAGTCATGATACTCATTTCTGTTAGAGGCTGAGTTGACCCCAGGGCCATAGTGCAGTTGGAAGTATTATGTCAACTAAAAAATCCAATGACCTCATCGGGAATCAAATCCATGACCATCCGGCTTGTAGCATAGTGCCTCAATAAGCTACACTACCATATGTACCAGAATATGACTAGAGCATTGTGAATTATATGAAACAGGTACTCTAGCATTCACTTAGAAGGATTGAGAAAAAGAAAGAAAAAACACACACAAAAACAAACCTCCAAAAATTTATGTCAAGTCAGAACAGACAGCCTCTACAAAGAACTGGAACCAATAACATCTGAATTATGAATGTGAAATGCTAATCATTATATTGATAAGCTAGGGCTTGGATGCTATTCAAACTTTGAAACTAAAAATTCTGCAATTTGAACACACACATTCATATATGCCATAAAATTACTCAAAATTCATGGCTACTACAATTTATCAGATTTTATACTGTTCATACAATATTGCTACGTAATATTCTGCACATTTTCTTAACTTACATGCTGAGTTAGGATCACAATACTAAGTCTTCACCCCTCAGTAACATCTAATCAACACAGCTCGGCTCACTATTGTACTTCGTAACTTCATAATATAGTAACATCACAGCAGCAAGAACATCTGCGGTGTGAGCGACAAAGCAACAGTTAACATATGATCCTTCAAACCATTATACATAACATATCTTCAAAGATATAATCAACTTCTGTTTAGTTTATATGCCTGTAGGCTGTAGAACAATATGTGGCCACAATACGTGATATTTAGTTCTCAGTCTGATACAAAAATATGCAATCTATTAAATATACTTCACAAGCACATATGCAAATTTTGCATAACTCTTTTGTCTGCTAAAAATCACACATACGGTGCAACATTTTGAGATTATGATGGTAAATCTGAAATGGGGGGGTTGCCAGTAATGTAAATAATGGACAGAAATAGATCACTGGACTGAATGTAACTGAAAGGTGCGGACAAACTTTGGACACAAATTCCACATACCAAAGTAAGAAGAACGTCCATATCATCATGTGCCTAGAAACATTTAATCTGTGAGTTATAGCTGATTTTCCAGTGCAAGAGAACTTTTAAGCATGTTTCGCTCAACAAATTGCTGAGCATCTCTTCGTTTTAAGAGCACTCTTTACATATGAGGCAGGTTTTGGTACAGATAGAATTATCAATATTCACAACAAACACCAATGCGAAGAAGAGAATCCTTATGGTGTAATCCACTCTAGATACCAGCAGCAGTTCAGCATTAATGCCTTGGCAGGAATTACTGACATCTGTCTGGTAGGCCCAAATTTTTCCACACCAGCTTACAGGCCACTACTAAGTTTTCCTGTTATGTGATCTGCCAGAGCTAATAGAAGATGTTTTGCTGGCATAAAGACCACAAAAGTGGTACATGCATGATGGTGCTCTGGCACTATGACTAATAGATAGGTACAGGACTCACTGCATGGCCTCCACACTCCCCACTCACATGTCAAGGATGAAAGATTTATCAGTTACAGTGGACGGAGTTTATAACCTTTTATAACATTTCCAGTGTGACAGACCTGGATCAACGAAATCACAAATACTACAACCTGTCAAATACGAACGGCATAAAAGTAGCATTATACAGCTTCTATTCATAATCCTGCGCATAACTTAACCAATAACATAACCAGCTTTGATAACAATACAATGATAATGCTCCCCAGCCGGCGAATAATGAATGTTGTACTACTATAACGCATGCAGTTTTAACAGTGTGTCGCTCAGCATAAAATAAAATAAAAAAAAATGGCAAATGAAACCAGAGTACGCACAAATATCACACCTTCTACCGGTCTATTAACATTAATGCTATTCGCTAATGTATGATATGAACATTACATATTCCTGTACATGGACACACCCATTTAATTGCACGATTGCTTGTTCAATCAAGTTGTAATATGTGGTAGTATCCAATACACGGGGGTGCAACTCAATTCTATTGGCGGGCAACATAACCGCCGTGACGTCATGAAGCATCACTGCTGCCACAGTGCCGGAGGCAACTCTATTGCCGCAAATTGATTGCCGCCAGTGCCGAGAGCTCGGTCGGTAAGAGTGTATGCTATCATACCACCTACCCCGTCGGTAAGAAAGCATGCTATCATACCACCAGCATACGTGTACTGCTCCCTCCCAAAAAATCAATGGTTCACACAGACAGCTTGAAATAATAATTGATGTAAAATATGAACATTTCATTTACAGGCACTGGTGAGAAACTTTCTCCCAATAAATAATACTGCAACCCTGGCCTCTTGTACTGCAGAGGTTATTTCATTGTTTTTGTTTTTTTTTGAACAGAGTTCGATATCACTTCCCTCAAAACCATCTGGAGGGGCATGAGTTAAATGATATCAAACTCAGTTCGAAAACAAACAACGGAGTAAGAACCTCTGCAGTACAAGATATCAGGTTGCAACATTATTTATTGGGAAAAAGTTTCTCACCAGTGCCTGTAAAATAAGAACATTTCATTTACATCAATTCAACATCCCCTTACTGATATGCAATGGATATTTGAACTATAACATATATAGAATACTTGTGTTTAGGAAAGCTGATGGTGGGTAAACTTGAAAGAAAATTCAAGAGAAGAGAGAGAAAAAGAAAATCCAATTGGCCGCATCCACGGATCATTACTAGTACTACGTAAACTACAGAGGCAGAGTCAGAATGGTCAGAATACTCCATGGATCTCTTGCGCGCGCACACTCACTCACTCACTCGCACACACTCTCACACACACTCACGCACACTCACTCTCTCACAAATTATCCAGCTGATTGAAACGTACGCGTATGCGTGAGTGCAGAATATGAATGGACACGTCAGTAACGTGATATGATTATTGCCATCAATGTTCTTAATGGGTCAAGTGTAAAATACAAAGCCCGATGTTGAAAAAATCCTTCGATAAAACAGTCGCTATCAGTACTCTTTTTTTTCTTGGCACTACAGCCGCAGTGGGCCTAGGCCAACCTCCATGAACTTCTCCGTTCACTTCGGTTTTTCTAGATCTTACACATTCGCTAGGACTCCTTGGGCAGGTGATCAGCTCGTGTAGCAGTGTAGCAGTCTTCTTCTTGAGGAGTTATTATAGTGGCAAATTCATATAATATATCGCCTGCATAATTTGGAAAACAAAAATTCACTTATTTCGCAAGTGTCTGCCACTGATACCTATTCCAAGTCAAATGTGCTACAGAGGGACATATGGGCATTGCCCAAGCCATTTTTGTGTATATTTATTTCTTCAAAATTAAAAAAGAAAATCGAATGAGCCAAACCCAAATGAAATTATGGTACATTTGTGATAAAGTGTGCCAGAGACAAACAAGAAGAAAGCAACTGAAACAAGAAGCATAGTGAAAGCAGCCATTACTTACAGTGAATATTAAGGAAAAAAATATGAAGAGGGTGTACACATATAATTAGACAATAAAAAGCTCAATTAACAATGCTGTCATCTTATATGCACCATTAAAATACCGTAGGCTACGAATGACAGTTCAGTGAATGCATAACTGCCAAAAATTTGCTAAACAGCTGGACAAAATATAATGAAAATGGAAATATAATTAGCAAAACAGACCCATTTCAACCAATAACGATGACAAATACAACATATAAGGAACAACGTGTGCAATATAACCACCTGGATCATAAACCACATGTCGTGGCAGTTGGAGAAATGGTCAGAAGAGCCATTAATCATCGATGTATAAATTTATGAAACAAAATAAAGATATTACAATAGAGATCTTCAAAAGGCACAACTTCAGATTTAACTTCTAAATACCTATCATATAAGAGAGAAAATGCAGTTTTAATCAGTCATGTCACACAAACATAATCTTAACTTATTCATGCCATACAACTGACTTTCAGATTAGGGGTAATGGGTGCCTAAATTATTGTCGAGGTTCAAGAGGGACTTATGAATTACCCTGTATACTGAAGTTTTTGTACCGTCACACGTTTTGATTATTGCATAATAATCTGAGATCAAGCGAAAACAATATATCAGTTTATTAATCATACACTGTGTTTTGGCCTCTTTCGACCATTAGGTGTGCATGAATAAAACCATTAACGTACGTTTATGAAAATTATATAAAAATTGATCCAGTCTACATCTTCTACATGTTCAGGGGTGAATATACAAAATTACTTTTTCGAAATTATATAATTGAAATTTTATAAAATATACATAAATAGTGAACTAAATGGTTCCCTAGTGTGTTATGTTCACTTTTTGGAGGGGGAACTAACTATGTATATTTTAATTTAAATTGTTTGTATAACTGTTACAAATGGTAACTATGTTCATATATTTGTGAACCTTCATCTTCTTCTAATTTCTTGCCTCTTATATCTGTAATGTAAAAGCATACGTGTAGGTATAAGATATTTTTTAAGTATAATATGGTATTAGCTATAATTATGTACTTAACATTTCTTTACCATGCAGTGAGGTATACACTGATGACGACCATATAAGCACAGCAAGCATTAATTTGCTGCTGACCTCCATCAAGGACATTCTAGATTTCGGGCCTCGCTGTTAGCCATGACCATAATTTCATTCAATTCCATGGACCACCTGAGTTTTTCTGAAAGTGTAGTGTTCGTTTCGCTGAGAGAAGGGGTAAAAAATTAAAGTTAGCCCTGTAACGGGGCTGTGGAGGCCCATAAAGTTGAGATGTCGAGGCTCCCATATTTTCTAGACAATTGGTTCACAGACAGCAGTGTGGTTATCGGCATTCAGTGCTGGCCGCCCTTTACTCAAAGGAAGATACTTGGTACCCATTTCTGGTACAGGCTTAGTCGAACCCAGGGCCATAGCGCAGCTGGAAGTAGTAGGTAAAAGGCAAAGCTATCCCTGTAACAGGACGTGCAGGCCCATATGGCTGTGAGACGTCGAGGTTCCCACATTTTCTCTAGATAATCAGCTCAAAGATGGTGGTAAGGTTGTCAGCCTTATGCGGAGGCCGCCCTTTATCCCTAGGAAGATTCCTGGTACTTATTTCTGTTACAGGCTGAGTCGACCCCAGGGCCATACTGTGGCTGGAATGATTAGCTAAATTGAAAAAAAATCACCTCATCAGGACTCAAACCTCAGACCTTCCAGGTTGTTGCATAGTGTGTCAACCAATTACGCTAGTAAGTCACATGAAAAATCCAGTAACATCGGGAATCGAACCCAAGACCTTCCACCTTGTAGCATGGTGTCTCAACCCAACTACAGAAAACGCTGATCTTTCAACATGCCAATTGTTATGCCAGAACTCATGACGAGTTAACCTGCACTCACAGAGATTCCAGGTAGGTGATAACATGTGATGCTTAAGAATAGATTCATGGATGTTGGCTGGCCTAATTAGGCTATGGTCCTTACTCTTGAACTGTGTAGAGAATCTAAGCTACATGGTTGTTCAATATTACTTAATTCAAACACCAATTTCACTTCTTATATGCAGATTTTACCCATGCTAATACTGTCACATGGGATGAGAGATTGCCCTTCTTTCTACTAGCTTACAAGGCATCCACTCACAACACTACGGATGTGACCCCAACTAGCCTGGTGTTCGGACGAGAACTCGAACTGCCCTGTGACCTGCTGTTTGGGGTACACCCAGACAAGGAACTACCCACAATCGATTATGAGACAGACTTAGTGGACCACCTACACGACATCCACAATTAAGCCTGGCAACACCTAAAGCTTGCCAGTGACTGGATTGAAACTTGGTACAATAAACTGGCAAACTCCGCAGGTTACCACGAGGGCAACAGTGTGTGGCTCTATCGCCCAGCCTGCAGAAAAGGGAAATCACCGAAACTTCAATCCTCATGGGAAGGCCTTAACAAGGTAGTCACCCGGATGAATGACGTGGCATGCAGAATCCAGAAAAACACTAGGTCAAGGATGTTGGTAGTACACCTATACCGCCTCGTGCCCTACCACGGAGCTGCTCGGGACATGCATCCTTTAAGGAGGGAGTGGAGGTAGCACTCGGAAAAACGGTGACACACCATTAGGCTGTTCGTGAAGAATGACCTTTAGGAGGAAGGAATGTGGCATGCCACCAGAAAGCCGGAATGGTTGATGAGATCACAGCTGATTTCCTAGGCAATGACCAGTGTTTCCACTGCAATGCCTTGGAATCAGAACACTAGCAAACCTAAGTAACAAACTGTTTGAGGCAGTTGCATGACAATGGCTAGGAAACTCGTAATGACAAAATACACTACCTAACTATTGAAGTTACCACTACAACGAAACAAAACGCAAGCTACCAGCGGAAAGAACACGTGAAATGAACCCTTGGACAAGTGTCTTCTAGCCCATCTGAAGGTAGGGTGTAAGGGAATATCATGTCCAAATTAAGACAAGTTTATGAGATACAAAGTGATGATTACAATGATCTGAGATACAAGTGACAAGAAGAGATTACAACGAGCCAAGACACAAAATGATACAAAAAGATTATAAAGAAGAGATTACACAAAGATTACCGATACTTCACCAAGACCAGTGGTGCAAGAAGTTATAACATTTAAGAAGAAACATCTAAAGGGCATTATAAGTGGAATAATTGTACTTGTGATTGTAAAAGTGACTGTCCAATAAAATACTCGTCTTTTAAATGTAGTCATTTCCCCTGCATACATAAACCACCCAGCTGTACAGAAAAATCTGCCGACTTGAGAGATGAAGCACAGAAGTGAATATATTACGTATCAAAGAACCTGATACTTGTACACCTCTCCCAGTATTGTCGGCATGGTTGTGATAGGCTAGACATGTAGCTTAACCCTTTGACTGTCACGCCCTGCCATAGTACCTACTAGAAATGTCAAAGCTGCTTGGGATAAATGCTTTTGCACAGAAATATTCACAATACGTCCTCAGATCACCACTCCATCAAACACAGGTGTGCAAAGGACAGAAGTCTGTTCTTCCCTGTCACCAGTCGCACATCACCTTTCATGCTATCTATGCTATATTAAGTGATTCACACTAAGCCAATTTGTATGACTGTGAAGATTTAACAAAAGTATACCAAGCTGATATACTGAGTTTGTGACATTCAAAAGGATTAAGTCTCTTTCATGGAAAGCCACTGAAAAGAAACCAACTAAGACCATCAAAGAGTAGAGTAAAGAATAATTTTACAACCGATGTAAAATATATGTTGTGAAGGAACAGGCTTGTGGTGGACTTTTGCGTAAGCTGTGTTGGAACTTTGCGTTCTGTTACTGGAGACAAATGGTAACACCAGTTATCCCCTTAAAAACTCCCAACTAACAATCACATGTTACACTTAAATTATATTTTCACATTTACAGTATTTTAAGTTTGGTATCACACAAAGTGTTTAACTGGGACCAAGTACTAAGATGGTTACATAAACACTTATATTAATATTAACATTGTTCTCTAAGTTACATAGTACTGGATTAAGTTCTGGCCTCTGTAGATTGTGAAATACCGTTGTTTTGTTTTACATCAATAAGTTACACACAGCTTTATATACATGATTATCATAAAGACGAATGAGATTCGACAGTCACCTCCTCATGTGACCCACCTACTGTTTATTTGTATGTACATATGTACATTCAGTTCAGAGCTCAGTTGACCACATCCTTTAGCTTGATGTAAAGGCAACATGAAAAGATCATGCCAAAGATCTGCAGCACACAGATTCCAAGCCCCACAGCACTCAAGATGATGAGGTGATCCCTGATCTCATCTGCTAGCCTGTGCCTGCATCCCTGGGCACAACAAAAACAGTTACAGTCACCTGTTAGATCAGTACAGGCATTTTAGAAGCATGTGTCTGTTAAGAACATTAACTTACAGGCTGAAAGATAGCAATACAGTGGCCACACACATAATCTGTGATACCTGGCAAAGGGAACAGATGATTAACTGTGCCAAGAGCAGTGAATGTAGGGCTACTTTTAATCCTGAATGTATCACTTAATGAAAATGAATTAAAAAATAACAAAACGATAAATGAAAAGGGAAAATAGAACAAAGAAGACACAGTAGGAGTAAGATGAGGACTAGAATAAAATGAGTGGAGAACAAGAGACGATGATCTAGGAGGAGGCAAAGGATAAGAAACTGGATCTCTTCCATTCCATTTATTCACAGAATCAATCCTCACACACAGACTTATTCATGCTCTTGTCCCTGGCATACCTTACTTACATACTGTAGGACACTTTTTTGCAAATTAAAGACTGTACATACGGTGATGGCGGGAAATTCTGAAGTTATGTCTGATGTAATTCAGATAGTGCGCATCTATAGGAGAAGAAATTATGCATAGATATATATTGTGCTGTGCTTATGTCTCCGTGACTAAATAATAATAATGGGTTTTGGATTGGATGATCAGATTTATTAACAGTCTGTACATTACTCATAATCACCATTGATTATAATAACTCAATATCAATCTTTAGGCATACCCTTCTTCTTCGACTGAAGAGGACTCACTCCATTCTCATTCTGATTTGAGTCTGTCCTGTACTACTTATATAGTTTTGAGGTGGACCCACTGAAAACCCATCCATTTCCCAGCAATGGATATATGCAAACCACACAGAAAACACCGCTTCCTCTATTGCTGTATTTACAGTGTTGCTGCATAGCTACGGAAGTTGACCAACTGTTGCCTATGTATTCATTGATGCTGGAAAGCGTTTAACGAATCGTTCCCTAGCAATGGGTCTATTTGTCAGAATATCAATAGATTTTATAATTATCAACACAATCTCCACTAGTGACTCTACATATGGAAGCATGTAAAGGATAGCGGACATTCTGAGGTAAGGAAGTGGGGACAGTTGGTGTTCTAGAGAGAAAGCAGAAGTGGCNAGGGCAGCACGGGTAAACAGGATTGCGAGAGACGATGGTGGTAACAGCGGTTACTACCGCTAGTGTTCCTAGCAACACAGCGCCAGGCTACAAGGGTGCTTATTATGTGGCCGTTTTCTGCATTGTCTGATTGAGGCTACATGAGGAGCAGCGAAGGCTATTCACAGTTAGTTCTCGAGCTACCTCCGAGTCAGTCCTCGAGCTACTTTAGTTCCGAGTTAGCCAGCAACCAGTCAGTTGTATTGTGGCATTTGGAGTGTACTATTTGTGATACTGCAGATAGCAGTAATCGTTAATCTGTAATTTGGGTGATTGTAAGTGCGAATGTGGAATAAAGTTCGCTATATAAAATACGGCGTGAAGTTATTTGTCGCGATATACGCCCAATACGCGACAATATATATATCATGCAAAGGGTTGAATGTGGTTCGAAGAATAATCACTGTATATTCAGAAAACAATATGAAACCCTTATATTGCCTTCATAACCATACTACAAATAATGGGCTTCTTCCGGTATGAAGAGCCCATTTCTGCTTCAATTCCAATAACAACTTTCGTCAATTAAGGTAAATCGGCTGTACGTATACTGTAAGGTAAAGGTGTTCCTGTGCTTAACTAAGCACTATGCTGTGAAGGCATGTGGGAGAGTGAATGTATAGTGTTACTCAAGGATTTCCATTTGACATTTAAATTGATACTTCATTATCTGCACCAGATGGTTAAGTTGGATTAGTCTCCTCTTCTCAGAAGCTTAGTCACTGACAGGGGAGTCTAAGAGTGAGAGTCCACAAGCTGCGGACACACAGTCAGCACAGCATTGAGAGGTACAGTTCATCTGCAGATTCATTTCAACGCACTGTTACTGGCCGCACCATAGCTCAAGCAGTTAGTCGTTGGCTTCCCACCACGGCGGCCCGGGTTCGATCCCGGGTCTGGTCAAGTGGGATTTATGGTGGACAAAGTGGCACTGGGACAGGTTTTCTCCAAGTACTTACGTTTCCCCTGCCAATCTTCATTCCACCAAATTCTCCATCATCATATCACCTGGGGCAGGCTACAACAGGCCAATCAATGGCCGCCGTGTCGAGAGGACCCAGTTGGACTACCCCCCCCTCCAATAAGCAAATTAAAAAAAAATGCTCTGTTACCGCTTACATATTAGATGAAGCAGAGAATACTTTTACTTGGATAAACTGATTTTTGTTTTAGTAACAAAAGTGGCAATATTACTTAACACACATAAACAAGATTCATTTCGATTCCTTTTTATATAAAGCAATCCAGTAACCTTAGGTTAAAACTAAAAGTTTATCCTTACTTAAATTTATGTTTTATCAGACTTTGAAGTTTTATTTTTATTGCTTTTATAAAAAAAAATGCATTCTGATAGTGCAGATGGAGGAGCTGTGCATTATGTTACAATATACGTATTAACATAATGTAAGAACATTTTATACTATATCCTTCGTGTCACAATATTTCATCTACGAGTAGATGCCTGTTTGAATCTGGCTTTCCAGAGGATGAGTTGCATCTCAGTTAATACTGTAAACTCACCGTATAATATATGTTGCTTGGGTGGTCACTCTTACCACATTGTGGGGTGATGGTCTTGCAGCATGAGTTTGGAACCTTCAGCCCCTCAGACAGGTTTTCCTTCTGCCAGCGGCTGTAACGCCAGTCTTCAAACTGGTTCGCACCACAGCATTTGTACTGCAGACAGCAATAATACAATGGACTCAGCAATATTCAACACTTCTGTAAATGAAGAGAATTGTATTGTGATGGCCATGTTGAAAATCCATAAACTTCAGAATGTGGTGAACTAGTTACAACAACCCTGTATGCATTTTGCCCTTCAACCAGGAGAGGAACTGGCTATCAGATTCCCCAGTAAAAAAAAACCTGAAGAAACAATAACTTTAACACAACAGCCATCCAATGGGAATGATGAAAACTCAGTTCAAGACCATTTTCTTACAATATTGTTGCATGTACACCAATTGCTAGGCAACATGTGGACTAGGCGAAGGCTGGGCGAGGGGTCTGGAGAGTACGGATGCTCAGGGAAAGAGTGTGGATGCACCATGAAGGCAGAAAGGAAGTGAAAGACCTAGGGGACGGGTGGCCGCGATATCTGAAGAAACGATGCCTGAAGAAATTAGGTTGGGAAAGCATGGGAAATGTTAATGAGGCTCTCAGGTAGACCACTGGACTGGGGGACAGCGAAGCGAATTACGAGATCTACTGTTGGGCTAAGAACAATCAAGGAGAGGATCTTGTGGAGGGGTTGGCCACCTCCAAAGCGGAAAAAGAGGTCGCACAAGGAGCAAGAGCTGGGGACGTGGGGACACCGGTCACTCCAGGAGTTATGGCTCCACCGTTTGGAAAAAGAAAACAAAACTTGGGATAATGGAGATACACTGAATCTACTGGAACCTTAACAGTGAGCCGCTCGGGACAAGCACACTTCAGGAGGGAGCGGCCGGAGAGTGGTCACCATAGGAAACACCGAACCACAAGAAGATGCCAAGAGCACAAACCCTCGGCAAAGACTACGAGGCGGTACGCCTGTAGGCTATTCGGGACGAATAGCCTGAAGGAGGGAGCAATGTTACTTGTATACCAGTTGCTAGGCAACAGGTTGGTAAACAAGTTCCCGCGAAGACAGAATCTTGGTAAACAGTCCGTTGCTAGGTTACACAACAAAAGGGGAGACTGTGTTTTCTATATAGTCCGCTCCACTCCCAGCGCTCGTAACGGACCAATGAACTCGCAGTCTGACACGTGACACGTGTTTTCTAACTAATGCGTTTGGCTCTACCAACAAGTACACTGAAGTTCCAATCAGCAAACTGGCTGTGATGCATAGCACGCTAGATGCCACTGCTCTTTATGCGACCCACCTACATAACAAGCAAACAAGGCAATAACCATATCGCCACGCACGTGAACAAGCCATCGGCACCTATTGCGAGGATCGCGAGTGCCGTGTGGCGCGCTCGTCAAGCGACACCGAACTATTACGTGTGCGCAACTGCCCTGCAAACCAGGGTGCGTCGTACCTAGTGCAGCCGACTCTACGGAAAAAAAGGTATCAGTGCACCTGAATTTCCCAGCGGCGAATGAATGCGAAGGTACGTTGCACACATAATCTAGTAACGTTATAGAGATGACGTTACGGTCTGCGTCACTAACTGATGATGATACACCACAGTGTGTCTGGCAGTTAAGTTCACTACCTCAATCTGCATGAGATCGATGGCACTCGTTTTGCTGTCATCCATCTTGTAGTTCTCTACGAACGTGCTGTTCAGGTTGAGCCGCAGCTCCTCCTCGACGTGCGGCTCGTACAGGAATGACATGACGCCCACCATCGCCTCCAGCAGGAAAACGAGTAGCAGCGCGAACGTGTACTGGAACACAGAACACAAATCATGTGTATCCACGGACGGTAATGGTCGTTCACGACTAAGACACTAACTCCAGATACGCACAACCAGCTCTGCGTAGATCACATTCGTTATAAAATGACGCTATTATGGGCCAACTCAGTTGTTCCCACCTGTCTCTCGAAGTACTATTTCAACATTAACCCCACACTTACTCACGGAGCTGAGCCCTTCTGGAAGAGCCGCCAATTCTGCAGCTAGTCAAGAATTTCCCAGCATTTTATGCAACCCGAAGGTTCATTACCGTGTTCACAAGAGTCCTCCACTGGTCCCTATCCTGATCGAGATCAATCCAATCCATACCATCCCATCCTCTCTCTCTAAGGTGGGGGGTAAAGGGCGTCCAGCGCGTAAAATTGTCAGCCTCAACGTCTCGCAACCCTGTGGGCCTCCACGGCCTGTTACAGGGGCAGGTTTACCTTTTACCACATTATAACCTCTACAGTTGAGACATGTCGATATAATTTAGGAAGGTGAATCTTTTCGTGCTCATCTGATCAAGCACTACGCCATGAAGACGTATGGGAAGAAAGGACGTATGGATCTTGACCTCGGCACTAGCTGCAGGTGAGTGATGAGCTTCACGGCCTGGCCGCTTTACCTCCATGGGAAAAGACCCCGGTACCCACTGGACAACAATCTCGGTTGACCCCAGAACCGGTCTGGAGAACGTGGGCAGGAGAAAAATCTTATACCTACCGGGATTTGAACTTGATCAGCATCGCGGTCGAATGGATGGTAACTCTGCTTTTTTATTCGCGAGGTTTGGACTCGGATCCGGGCCCCGCAGACCGGCTGTCGTAGGATTTCTCAGTGCCCCATATTAGACCAAGTACCCTTCTTTCCATATCCTCTCCGATTCATTACGCCAGTTCAGTGCTATTAGTCTGAGTTGGCGAGAGCGTCATTACATAAGCTATAAATAAAAAAAAAGAAAAAAAAAATTCCTCACCAAAATTTATTACTACTCCGAGGAGTAAAGACGGACGAGGTATGGAACCGCCACTATTTGATGCGTTTACGAACGCGTGGAGTTGTATCTCTATGCCTTACCACGCTCTCAAGGCTTCTCAAAACCGAGGGTTACTACTAGGGGGGTTCGCAGGTCACCTAACCACATTAACCCAGTTTATTGAGGGGCGGGACGCTCGTAGGAAACAAACACGAGCACAACTCCCCATTTGCAATATCAACGGAATACCGCGCTCAAGGTCGAGCCGCGCGCGCTCTCTGCAGTGCAGAAGTGCCTCATGCAGAAATTCTGAAAACTCTAAAACCTGTCATTCTCTTTTACTCTCCAATATTTTTTGTTTGTTTATTGAGCATACGGAGGAAATATTCTTTGTAAACTTTTAACCCCCTATGCCTCATGGTTTTTATAATATCCAGTGCCAAATTTATCGCAATATCGTAGAAGTGACAATATCCTTTGGTGGTATTTCTGATACCCCTTCCGACAGAAGGCGCAACGAGCGCTCGTTTAAAATCTGATTTTTCGCCCTTATGATGGTGAGCATTGCGAGTCTATTGTTCTGCATACAAGCGAAGACATGCGGAATTTTTCTGAACCTGACCATCTGCCTCGCCAATGCGCTAAATTGCTAAAATATGAGGGCATTCCTTGTTTCCACGACAACAGAACACAGTTTTCAGTTTAGTGGCTGTTAGTTCAGAAAGTGCAGAAAAAAGTTAATTTCCGACGTCCCGGGCTGAGTTTTCGCGTTACTTCGCCAACCTCCAAATACAGCTCGATTCTCAGGTGCTGGAACGTCTTGGGCTCGAGATGAACCCCGCTGTGAGAATGACGTTTTTTTTGTGCTTTGTTTTTTTTAGTTTCTTGGGGTGGGGTGAGACTGAGTCCACTTGGTATGTTGGCCACTAACTGGCCTATTGTACGAGCCCAGGGCGACAGACGATGAGTGTGGCGCAGACGGTGGAATGAGAATTGGCAGAGGAAATCGAAGTACTCAGAGAAAACCTGCCCCAGTGCCACTTTGTCCACCCCAAATCCCACATGACCTGACCTGGGTTCGAACACGGGCCGCCGCGGTGGGAAGCCGGCGACTAACAGCCTGAGCTATGGCGCGGCCGGGTCTGACAGTAACCTCGCCTAGAAGTGTACCGCTTCTGCAGCCTGCTCGGTGAGGCAACGTGATGACAATACTTGCCTTTCCTTCCTCATTTGGTGGGATTTCGAAAGCTACCNTATAAACCGATATTAACTGTCTAATATCCGGCTATTTTTGTTTACATCCAAATACACGTTCCAGATATGCAGAGTTCACCATCAGGCAATTTACCACTACGTATGTCCTTACCGAATTACGTATTAAAATGGATAAATTTTTATATTTACCAATATTCCAATTCAGATTTTTTACATTAAGTTTTTTGTATGGGATAAGGAGCGGGAATAGCGTAGTCGGTACAGCGACTAGTTACGGGCTGGACAACCAAGGGGTCGGAGTTCGGGTCCCGGTAGGGTCAAGAATTTTCTCCTACATAAGCAGCTGAGGCAATCTGATCACAGTTCGTTGCAAACTGAATTAGCCATTTGAAACATCAGGAGGGCAGACAAAAGTCGGGTGGCAGTGAGATGGCGGGGGGATGTCGCGCTTAGAAGGTTCCCAGGAAGTGCCCACTTGCCCTCCTGGTAGAGGTCGTTCCAGAGAGGGTAAACGTTTCGAAAGTGAAATATATAAAGCGTTTGATGTGGCCTTTATATGAGGCATTTACAGAAGTTGTGCAGGGGCTGTACTGCGCATGATCTGAATTAATAAGTTCGTATAAATAATACTTACTCCCTCAAGAAGAGGACACTGTCTCCATTACGAAGACCAGGCGGTTAATACTGGTTAGGGAAACATCCGCTGTTTATTCTAATTATAGGAAGGCTTTGCGGGCAGATTCAGCGTTTGGTACTAGTCGAAACACTTGACTGTATATGCTGCAGAACGCTCGACACGTGCCTATTGCGAGGCCCTGTTCACAGTAGCGCGGCCTGCTTGACAGGCGGCCGTCACTTCCGCACATGTTAATACTGCGGAGTGAGCTCCCACCTCCCATTACTTCGCCACTTTACCTCATGGCAGAATCCGTTATTACGGTGTTTACAAACGCTGAACCAGCTACTGGGGGCATAAATGATCGAGTGGAAAGTGAAAAATCATTAAAAATCGTAAATAGAAAAACATATGGTAGGAAGAGGTAGCAGCCTGTTTAAAATAGTTATTTCCTTACAATTGAGGAAAATCATTAAGATCGCAGGAAGGGAGAATTATCAGAAATATTAATTTAATAATCACTAAACCGAAAATAAATTCTGGGGTCTACACAGGGTGTGTCTGGCGGAAAAGTCAATACTTCGGGATAGGCTTGTAGAGGAAACTATAAGTGAAAAGTTCACGTAAGAACGTTTGTCCAATTCTGAATGGTTACGAAGCTATGCCTGTCTACATTAGCATTGTGAGTGTTAATAAAGGAAAACAAATTACGACCTAACATTTTAATGTTTCAACATTATCATTATGAATGGTTTACAGCAAAAATAGAGAAAAAGAACAAGTTACTTAAAAGTTTCCGAAAATTCCACCTTCAACCTCGATTCACTTTGCAGTTCGTCTGCGATGATCGCTTGCTGTTCGTTTCAGCAGATGGTGACGTGTCTTGATGCGAGCTGGAGCAATTCGTCTCGTGTATTTGCTTTTACTTCGTAAACTTGGCTTTTCATCCCATTCCCACACACCATAATCCATGAGGCTGAGGTCTGGAGACCTCGCCGGCCAATTAACCACCGCCGACCACGGAAAGTATTATTTACATGTTGCATCACCGCGCGGCAATGATGTGGAACTGTCATGCATAAAGCACTAACCTATACACCCTGCATAAAGTCTGGACACAAATTTATTACAGTAACTACATGATGGGTCGGGCTCGTTCGGTGATCACATTGTAACAAACGCTTTCACAGAAATCCGTCTTCCTTTTGCGGCCTTTCACAACGTCAGCGATTCAAAAACTCCGTCTGTCCGAGTATAGCTCTATATGTGATTCGCTCGAAAGCGGCCACGAATTAGTACTTACCGATCCCGTAATAACTTACGAATGAAAACGAAACTTGACAAAACGGTGTACTCTGCAACATTGGTACCGGGGCCTGCCTGGTTTGCGAAATTTTCTTCAGTCTGTGATTCCACATATTGTGCAGCGGGGACGGGTGAGAGAATGGGCAGACATATCGCCCCTTATTTCCAAGAGGAGAGAAACCAATTTCGGTACATTCAGGAACCCAATTATCTCCACAGTTACCAAGGTAATGTACCTGCCGGAGTTTCCGTATAATTCGTAACTCATTGCGTGAGCCAGTAACTTCGCTTCCTACAAACTGAGGTTTAATTAAACGTTGCATTTACGTCCCCATATAATTAACAGAATACAATTAATTACTGTCGAAATTCGACAATATCAAGTTTTACGTGACGATGTTATTGCATAAACGCCGAGTAAGGGCTAGACAGGGGCCGCGCCATAGCTCAAGCGGTTAGTCGCTGGCTTCCCACTGCGGCGTCCCGGGTTCGATCCCGGGGCCTGGTCAAGTGGGATTTGTGGTGGACAAAGTGGCGCTGGGGCAGGTTTTCTCCGAGTACTTCGGTTTCCCCTGCCAATCTTCATTCCACCAATTGCTCCACAATCACCCTCACCTATCATCTGGGGCTGGTACAATAGGCCAGAAGAGGCCGCAGTACAAGGGACTTAGTCCCACGCCACCAGCAATAAAAAAAAAGCGTTAGACAGTGTCTCCTCTAAGAGCTGCAGCGTGTTCTGAGAACGTACTTCGTTTAAAGCACAGTGGTTACTATATGTACCACCTGCTGCAGCATTCAGAAACTGAGAATTATGCTGACACAATGTATTTATGTTCCACGTGATTCCCGGAAGAGCGATCATTTCCGAAGACAGCA